GTCCACCTCTAGGACTAAGGCCCCTTTGGGGTGAAATGTGTTGAAGGAGATGTAAGGGGCTGACGGAGAGCCACAGAGGTCCACCTCTATGACTAAGCCCCCTTTGGGGTGAAATACATTGATGGAGAAGGAGCAGGGTTTGGCAGAAAGTCATATAGGTCCACCGCTATGACTAAGAGGTGGACCTGTGGCAGGCTCTATGACTAAGCCACCTTTGGGGTGAAATACATTTGAGGAGTAGGAACAGAGTGTGGCAGAGAGAAATAGATGTCCACTTCTAAGACTAAGCACCTTTGAGGTGAAATGTGTTTAAGAAGATGTACGGGGCTGACAGAGAGTCATAGAGGTGCACCTCTATGACTAAGCCTGCTTTGGGGTGAAATGTGTTGAAGGAGATGTAAGGGCCTGATGGAGAGCCATAGAGGTCCATCTCTATGAAAAGCTCTTTTTGGGGTGAAATGCTTTGAGGGAGAAGGAGCAGGGTCTGGCGGAAAGCTGTAGAGGTCCACCGCTATGACCAAGACGTGGACCTGTGGCAGGCTCTATGACTAAGCCCCCATTTGGGGTAAATTACATTTGAGGAGTAGGAACACAGTGTGGCAGAGAGAGATGGAGTTCCACCTTTATAACTAAGCCCTTTTTGTGGCAAAACTTATTAGATGAGAAAAAGCAGGGTCTGGAGGAAAGCCGTAAAGGTCCACTGCTATGACTAAAAGGTAGACCTCTGGCAGGTTCTATAACTAAGCCCTCTTTAGAGTGAAACACATTGGAGGAGTAGGAGTCTGGCGGAGGACCATAGAGGACCACCTCTATGACTAAGCCCCTTTGGGGTGCAACACATTATATGAGAAAGGGCAGGGTTTGGCAGAAAGCTGTGGAGGTCTACCACTATGACCAAGAGGTGGACTTTTGGCAGGCCCTATAACTTATCCTACTTTGGGGTGAAAGACATTGGAGGAGTACGAGCAGAGTCTAGTGGAGAGCCATAGATGTCCGCCTCTATGACTAAGCCCTTGTTGGGTGAAACACATCTGAGGAAAATGAGCAGGGTCTGGCAGAAAGCTATGTGCTTTGTCTTGGTTTTCTGAACATATTCAAGTTGCAATAAAGCTTTTTAAAGCAATGAAAAAAGGATGTGTTTTATATGCAGCTTTCTTCAATTGAATCCAGTATGCCTGGAAAGAATGAACCCCACTGAGTTAGCACCCATAGCCTGATCAGTGAGCCAGAAGACTGCCTGGAGCAATATCCTTTGTGTACACATAGATCTAAACCCTAACTAGATGATACACAATGCTATAGCAAACTAAGTACCACAAATATTGCCTATTTTCCAGGAAAAAAACCTTTTATTGCATCTCAGTGCTCCTGACCTCCTTCAGCATATTTCAGCTGCTTCTTCTCTACATTCACTCCAGCACCAGCTGTGTATTATTGCCCTAAACCAACTTTCTAAAGGGGACAACTACATAACACCAAATAACAGGAAGTGCCTGGACAAGAACTTTCACGGCAGGACCACCAGACAAAGAAATAGGTTTAAAATGATTTTAAATTTTTTTTGATATTGCATCAAAATGTTGATTATATGAGATTTTAGTGATTGGATTTAGAAGTACTTTCAGAACAGACTCGGCCCAATACACTACACTGAGTGGCCAGATTATTATGACCACCTGACGTTTGTAGGCAAAGTAGCTATAATTAGCTATAATTTCGTGCAGGAAGTTGCTAGAGGGCCAGGAAGCAGGTTGTTTACCACGACAGTAGAAGTGATTTGTTTCTGAAGATACGGGTAAACAACGCGATTTAACAGCCTCTGAACGTGGGATGATTGTTGGCACTCGGAGACATGGAGCGAGTATCAGCAAAACAGCAGAATTCGTTAAATGTTCACGAGCAGCTATTGTTAAAGTGTTTAAAGACCAGACTGCCAGCCGAAAATCTGGGTCTGAACGTGCGAATTGTGGCCGTCAGCGACTAGTCAATGTTAGGGCAGAACGGAGAGGGGCAAGACTGGTACAAGACAACAGAAGGGCAACAGTGCAGTGTCAGATTCCTCGCATCACCTTTCAACATCTCGTGGGGTCATCTCATGGCCCAACAAAGTAATCTCGTGGAGTCATCTTGTGGCCCAACGAAGTACTGATGGGGTGGTCATAATAATCTGGCCACTCAGTGTATATGTAGTATCATAGACTGATTCTGCCCATTAAGAGGTTACATATTTCCAAACAAAAGAATGTAAAAAAGATCAAATTATGCACCGGTCAGTTTTCCCTGCCTCTAGGGTTGGACAATCACCGCCAATTCTGCTGAATAATTCATGTCAACAAACAAATGGGGGAAAACAACTGTCGGAGAACCAGTTGTGATTACTATGGTTTCCCTTGGGGTCAGCAACACAGGAAGGTGAACTACACTTGCCCAAGGAAGGATGTTAGTCCGTTCACTACAAGATTGTCAGTCCTGGTGAAGTGTCTTGGAATGATTGTTGTGTCACCTACTAGAGGATTCCAAAGGTATAGGCACATGTGAGTGGCACTGAATCCAGCATGCACCCACAGACAGAAGCACTCTGCCTCGCATACCAGTGAAGGGTTGCAAAAATCACCACGGTCTAACAAGCATATCTAAGCTTTCCATTAATGGTATAGGGCCAAATGTAGATTTTGGAAGACGGAAATGTTTTTCTGCGGTGCCCAATTCCCCTAATTTTCATAGCAGGGGGCTCCAAGAACATGGAGAAGCGCTTGGGCCAATTGGCTGCCGAGCCACAGCCAAAGCTTCCATATCTATTTTGGGAACAAAGGGCCTTGTTTCAAGTCATCAGACAACCTGCTGGTGCCTCATGCGATAGCAAAACATGAAATCAATGGGATCAATACGCAGACAGACAAAATAAATGTTTTGAATGCAAACAAAATGCTTGAATAAATATTTGAACATAGAAAAGGCCGGACTGGAGACATGAAGTAGATGCGGCTTTTAAGCAGAGCATGTCATCGAACAGATGGAGAACAGAAAGCAAGACTCGTAAATCATACTTGGAAAAAAATACTCCACTCTTACAATAAAAAATATATAATGGAATGGTTTCAAAATTGACCTTATCATGTAAGTTTTTTTCTGCCGGCAGTTACTTTCTAAAACCGCTACCAACTTTATATGTCTCTCAATTTGAAACTATGGTACTGTACTAGCTGCAACTGTTTGTACATGATACTTCCCACAATTCCCTAAGCTACGAGACAATGTTACTAAATTTAAACATGTTCACACTAGAAGTGAGGAGATTAAGGAGGGACATGCTTTTGATGTACACAATGTTTAGTGGTGATGGCAACATCAGCAATAAACTGTTGGTAAATTCCATAACAAGGACTAGAGGCCAACACCTAAAACTGGTGGAGAAAAGATTTAACCACAAGGGGCATAGGGGCTTTTTTTTCAGTAAGAACAGCTAAAGTCTGGAACTCGCTGCCAGTGGTATCAGCTGAGAGTATTGAATCATTCAAAAATCCATTAGATACTTTCCTCAGAGACCGTAACATACAGGGGTACAGGTACTATTAAAAATAAGAGAGTTGTGTACATACTTACACATGCGCAATCACACACAGACAGACAAAGGTTGAACTTGATGGACCTGTGTCTTTATTCAACCTCAGATACTATGTACCGGTGAATTCAGTGCAGAGGTCTGCTCTGAGCTTGAGATACATTTACAAGCAGCCCCTGCAAAACTAGTTTCATCTGTGGTAGGATGCTCCATTGCATGGAACATTTTAAACTTAAAAATAATAGAACAGAATCCTTTTTCACATTATTTTCTGTTATTTTTTTCAAGATATCCTTAGAATTAGAAGCATTCCTGCCCTGATAAGGGGGTAGCTTTCATAACCAAACTTGCATCCCTAAACCTCATCCAAAATGTAAAGATGCTCCAGTAATCACCATTAAACTCATGTGGGCACAGGCTCGTGCACATTCCATTGTACGCTGCCCCGCTCTCAGGGTTATGGGTGAACGTGCTTTAGTTTTTGTGTGCAGAAAAATGTGCACCAGTATCCATGCACATAAATGTTAGCATTGGTGTGCATGTGTGTGCATGCACATGCGCACTGGCATGCACGCATACTGGTGTGTCAGTTAGCCTATTTAAACCATCATGAAGTATGGGCTAATTGCTGACTGTCTTCAGTTTGTTCCTGTTTCCCTGCGACCTGACCTGTGACTTGATTCCCAAAGAAGACGACGCTGGCTTGTGACCAGACTCTGGTTCTCTGTGTTCTTACCTTGGCTTGTGACTTCAACTCTGATCTGGCTAGTAATGTTGGTTCGATACGGCTTCATCTGGACGATAGTAAGCCAGGCCTGTGCTCCCGACTACACCTCTGTCTCCTGTTCCAGTACCCTGCTGTGTTCAACGCACCGCCTTGAACACAGTCCTGTGGTTGCCTTATCCGGTCTTCACACCCAAAGCATCTGCATGAACTTCATTGACCTACGTTCTGGGCACCCTTACTTTCCTGTGTCCTCACTCTGCCTGTAACCACTTCCAGGAGAGTTGGACAAGGTCGGCAAGCATATCCTTCCTCTGCTCAGCTTGGTCTCCCATCAGGTATGTGACACTAAACTTATACATCCTCATCATAAAGCAAGGTAATTATTGAAATCCTTTGGTGTGCAGAAACTGCCAGGCCAATATCAAGGTTCTCCATTGTCATACCACCCATTGTCATACCACCATGATACCATTGGATAACAGTATACAACTAACATATATTAAAACTCTAACCCACTTTCTATAGACATGAGGTGTCCATCATCCAATCCAAGGTTAGATCTGTGGACAACAGTCTACATGTTGGTATTATAATTAATCACAGAAAGGTGCAAAAGGAAGGTTGATATGATGTGGCAAGATTCAAGCACATAAAAATTTACAAATCACACAAAGTTCTTTCACTTAAACAAGAACTTATAAAGGAGCTTACCAAGAAGAGCGCCCGGAAGTTGGCTAGGTCCCCGAAAAACTCCTCAACGTTCACCGCTCTGGGATCGAAGGAGAAGAATTCTCCCAGGTTGTCGTAAAGCTTGTTCATGTTGTTGTGCATGGTGGTCAGCTTCTCGCACTGCTCACGGGCTGTCTTCGCAAAGACGTAGGAAGTTTAGTCAAGGAAAAACTTTCTCAAGAAGGCACACATAAGACAAACATTGTTTACTTGAAAACGAACTCTGTACCTGCCCCTGTGATACATAAAACACAATGCAAGAAATGGGACGAGGGACACATCAAGGCACAGACATCACTCTTACTACAATGTGTTTTTGTTTGTGTCCCTATTGGAGGGATTTCATTATACGGGTGGCCTGGCATGCGAGTGTTGCAATGCATGTTAGTACTGTGAGCCTAGGTTGGCGGGATGACATGCCCCCAGGCAGTGTGTCTATGACAACCAGGGCTCACAGGAAGGTGGTTAAATGGTGCTGGGCATACTACCAAGGCGAACGGTGGTATCTAGGGGCAGAGAATAAGCACTGGGGGACAGCTTCAGAATGAAGGTAGATATTCCAGCCCCAGCTTTTTTTATTTTTATCCCTGCTGGACCTCTTTCCATTAAAAGGTGGAGTTGGGCTTTAAAATACCGCCAGCTTTTGTTGATGTGCATGTCGAATTTCTGTGGGATGCCCTATTGAGGAAAGCAGAAAACTGAGCCATTTTTAGTGCATATTAGATAATGTTTCAACAGATAAAATCATTCATGAGAAATAAAGGACTCAGCAGTTAAATAACTATTTCATATGCAAAAAAAACCAACAATGGCACCCTCGTGCTGAATTTATGTCTCCTAATTGAACATTCTGATGAGAAAATTACCATGAGACAAAATAACAAACACAGCTAAATAATGCGCTTGGATTAGTTAATAGAACCCCGATCTCTATTGTCCTCTGCGGAATCATGAAAAATAGAGCACCACAAATCTTTTTTTTAATTCATTACAAAACAATCCGCATTTCAAGGTAATGCATCCCTCTTATGTTTCTTTATTAATATTGAAAAAAGTGACTTGGCACGATGAACATATTTCTACAATTTAAACATGTTTTTGCACATGGTATGTAAATTCTGGATTCATCTGAAACACCATCTGCCATCGCTGCGTTAAGGCAACCCCCACCCCTTCCTCCTGGAGTCTTATATATGGAAAACAAAGATCTTCTTAAGAATTTGCATAAATAAAAAGTTTTACAGAGTCGCTTTCTCTAACCTGTATGGCTTCAGTTGAAGATACACTGCATTGAAAACACACAGCTGAATATACAATGTCCTGTGGTACCAAAAAATAAAGTGATACAGCTTTATAAGAAGGGCCTCTCTGTTCCGTAATTTAGAACTGTATGACCTCCTGTAAGCCCAAAGGGCCCCTGACTGAACCCAAATCCTTGTCATGTTAACATGTGACAATATGCTAGGAAAAATGTTACTTTATTTTGGACATCATCTATTGGTCTGCTGGTGACATTTCTGATGAACCCAAATCCTAACACAGGCTCACAGGAATTTTTTAAAAGTATACCTAAAGTCCCACATTTGTTTTTTTTTTTTACTCTGCCTGGCTTTGGCTAGATGAATTAGAGCGCTCTGAGCCTGTCAGGAGCCTTGCGCCCTAGGGGGAGAGAGAAAGGCCCTATCTCTTCAAGAGATGGACCAGTCAACACATTCCAATGCACCACAAGCACCATTGCATGACTGCTGGCTGAGCGGCACAGCAACATTGGTTGACTGGTGGCTGAACCACACATTGTCATTGGTTGACTGGTGGCTGAACCACACAGTGTCATTGGTTGACTGGTGGCTGAACCACACAGTGTCATTGGTTGACTGGTGGCTGAACCACACAGTGTCATTGGTTGACTGGTGGCTGAACCACACAGTGTCATTGGCTGACTGGTGGCTGAGCCACACAGTGTCATTTGTTGACTGGTGACTGAGTCGCACAGCAACATTAGCTGACTGGTGGCTCAGGAGCACAGAGTCAGTGGTCGACTGGTGGCTGAGGGGCACAGAATCATTAGTCGACTGGTGACTGAGCCGCACAGCGTCATTGGTTTACTGGTGGCTGAGGTGCACAAAGTCATTGGTCAACTGGTGCTGAACCACACAGCTTTATTGGTTTACTGGTGGCTGAGCTGCACAGTGTCATTGGATGCTAGGAAACAGGCATCCCTGGGTTCAGTGAATGTCGGAGTGAACCAAACCCATTTCAGGTAGCCCATCTTTACTGGTCACGTGTGCAGCATCATGGACACCTCAGATCTAAATAGAGCTTTACAATGGCACTTTCGTTGGTGGATAGCTCCCCTGTAGCATCTTGTATCATACGTGAGCACATTCCAGGGGTTTAAAGGGCCCCCCTTCATTAGGGCTTGGTAGTGTTAACAAAACTGGTATATTCAGAGGGCTGTCAAGGGGTATGAATATGATGGCTCCAGATGCTGGTAAGGACAGGGGGTCCTAATCCTTTCTTACTTTATCAAAAACAAAACACAAAATGTATAATTCAACAAAAATTTACAAATGCTAAACCACCCGAACACAGCGAAGACGGAACGACACTAATATATTGCACAAGTTTCATTGCTCACAGCCAATCTCAACCACGACCAATCTGTTATTCTCTCGCATACCTAGAAAGACAATACATAAAAAGAAAAAAAATATACAAATCTTGGAAAATCCTTACGCATTGCAATGCCTCGTAGGCTTGTAGAGTCCTGAAAAGGTTCAAAGACTCGACAGCCTACAAAATTAATGTTGCAGGAAGAACAATTAATCATAACAGAGCCTAACGGACGTCTGAAAAAATCTGCAGAAAACGCTTCACCCCCAAAGAGCGCATGAAAAAAAAAGTTTGGCGTGTAAATGCTGACAGTTACGGGAACCCGTCTTAGAGGTCCCTCGTCCATTAACTTTATCTATCCGGCGCATGAAAAAACATTAGAAGGAAAAATGTTGTATTAATCAGCTTAGCTTCAGAAGCTTTCTTCCTCCTTACAACACTAATCTGTATAATATTCCCGATTCTGAGAGCTTGATAAATCAGACTTTTGGGCCCAAAATCATCTTGTCATTATCTGCTTAGTTCATTTTTTTATGAACCTCTTTTATGTACTTTAAATATACTTTTCCATCCGCGAGGGGAGGCGAAGGGTTCACCGGGAAGACCGACGGTAAGCTGCAGAAGAAACAGAAAAAAAAATCCTTGTCTGTTTATAATATAAAATCTAAGTCGCCATTTTTGGATGTTTATATAGATTTATTAACCCTTTCGGTGCCACAGCCAATTTTTTAAAAATCTTTTTGCATGTGTTATAATGCAATTTTAGGCCTGAAGATCACTCAGCCTCCCTGGCGGTAATCCCGAGTGTGGCTCTGGGTTAATTTTCAGTACCAAAAGCGGTAACCCCCGAGCCACACTCGGGATTACACTGTAGTTTCACTTACCTTGTCCTTACGAGCCCCTGGTGCCCTCTCGTTGTGTCCTCCGCCCGATGCCGGCATCCGTCTTACGGGTTCGTTCCCTGCGAGCGTCGGCGTCGCAGGGGGGCGGAACCGGCAGGCAATTCAAAAGTGAAAACATGACATATACACACACACACTAGTAATATTGCACCCTTGTTTGGACAAATGTCAGTGTTTTTGGTTTGATTACATTATTGAATTAAATGTATTATTATATTATTATTTTTTTATAATTATTTATTATATTATAATTTATGATTTTGTGTTTCAAACTTTATCATACCTGGGATGTCTACTAGACTCTTGTTTGGACAGATTTAAGTGAATTATTCCTAAGAATTACAGGCCTACAATATAAAACAATACATTTCCATGCAAAACAATGTACCGCTTTGACATTCAAAATACTGACATATTCAGACTGCCAGGGAGGTTAAAATCCCCAAAAGACAGTGCGGGGTGAATTTATCAATACTGGAGCAGACAAAATCTGGAGCAGCTGTGCATGGCAACCAATCAGCTTCTCTCTTTCATTTTCAAATCTTAACTGAATAAACTGAGAATAGAAACCGATTGGTTGCCATGGACAACTGCTCCGGATTTTGTCTGCTCCAGTTTTGATAATTTCCCCCTATATATTTTCTGAAAGCAGAAACCCTACCGAATTTAATGGTGGCAGCTGAAATTTGTTATGTCATGCCATATTTGCACTACTCTTTATCCAATCTATACTTTCAGTAAAAAATATACAAACACACAATATATTACTCACTACGGTGGAGACAAGACCAGTCACCCTGCACAAGGAGAGAGAGCAGCAGTGAGCGGTCTTTATTACAGGAGGGGACGGAGACAGGACCAGTCGCCCTACACAAGAGGAGAGAGCACCAGTGAAGGGTCTTTAATACAGGAGGGAGTGGAGACAAGACCAGTAACCCTGCACAAGGAGAGAGAGCAGCAGGGACCGGTCTTTATTACAGGAGGGGCGGAGACAAGACCAGTCACCCTACACAAGGAGAGAGAGCAGCAGGGACCGGTCTTTATTACAGGAGGGGCGGAGACAAGACCAGTCACCCTGCACAAGGAGAGAGAGCAGCAGGGACTGGTCTTTATTACAGGAGGGGCAAAGACAAGACCAGTCACCCTGCACAAGGAGAGAGAGCAGCAGTGACAGGTCGTTGTTACAGGAGGGGGCGGAGACATGACTGCACAAGGAGAGAGAGCAGCAGTGACCAGTCTTTATTACAGGAGGGGGCAGAGACAAAATCAGTCACCCTGCACATGTAGAGAGCAGCAGTGACTGGTCTTAATTACAGGAGGGGGTGGAGATAAGACCAGTCATCCTGCACAGCAGTGACCAGTCTTTGTTACAGGAAGCTCCAAGTGTCACACTGGATTACTGCACAGATCTGGAAGAAATACACAAAGCTCCTTAACATTCCAGGAAGAAGACAAATAACTCTTCTATGAGGACAATATTTGCTGATGCCGGTGTTCAGCTTTAAATCTTTACAGAGAAAGTAGGGTCGCCCTCCTGGCTGTGTTGTCTGCAAATGTGAATAAAACACAAAAGTGACCAACGAGGATTACACTTCCTTTGGCGAGATAAGACCGGAGATGACAGCTCCCTTT